GTTCTGATTTGGGCACCATGTCCAGGCCTAGGAGTCCTGAACTGCACATCACCCTAGTTGCAGGCTTCTTCCATTGTTTCTCCTCCATCCTGACCCACTGTGGCACTTGCCAAAATCACAGGAAAAGATGCTATTGAAATGCTAACCAGTAATAGGAATGTTACATATTTTAAGCCTTTTTAGGAATGTGGTTTGATGTTGTCCCATTAAAAACTGAAACTAAGAGGTGATGGATGATTTAAGGTGATGGGGGTGACCAGGCAGGAGACCCCTATCTCTGTTAGGAAGTGCTCCCAGCACCATGGTGCTAACCCTGATGGCTGACCAAGTCACCTTCTCCCTGAATCTGCCCTGCCTGCCTGGGTCCTTGAATTTCTCTCCCCTCAGAACTTCTCCAGCTTGTATAGCCTGTAGCTCATCCCTGGTCTTTGGCCAGCACTGCCTTGAATGATGGCTCCCTTTTACCTGGGACCCTCAGAAAGGCCTCTGAGGGACATCTGACTGCTGTTTTGCAAAATAGTGCTGCCTGTCAGCAGGAAGCCATTAAGATTGGTCTTCATCTCTATTTTAATGGCAGTTAGATGTACCTTTTCAGAGAGGGGAATTGATAGCTACAGGAGGCAGCCAAATGCCTAGGCAGATAGGGGTGGTTCCCCAGTGAAACTCCACCTTCAAGCCAGAAAAACAGCCTGAAGCCTGAAAGACTGGACTGCTGGCCCCAGATGAAACTAGTAACCCAGAGTGAGAACTTCTGTTCCTATTTCCCCAGCCTTTTCTGATGGATTCTTTCTGAATAATACTTTTTAACCAATCAATCAAATGTTGCCTTTTCCAATACTACCTATGGCCTGCCTCTCCCCTATTCTAAGCCCATAAAAGCCCTGAACTCAGTTACTTTAGGGGGGACTTTCCCACCTTCAGGTAGAGGGACCACCCCCATGTCCCCTCTCCACTGAAAGGTGTTTCATCAGTCAATAAAACTCCCTTCCTTGCTCACTCTTTGGGTGTCAGCATATCCTCATTCTTCTTGGGCATGGGACAAGAACTCAGGAACTGGTGCACAAGCCAGACTTGGCCCAGGCAAGTTGAGTGGGAGGGCTGTCTCCAGCAGCAGGTAGCATAGCCAAACAAGGCCTGAGCAGAGAGTCACAGGCCAGAGGTCCCTAGCTTGTAAAGTGACTGAGAAGAAAATCCTGCATCAATACTTCATGTGAGTATTCTCTCTGTCCTTCAATTAAACCATCAACCATGCAAAGGACATGGAATACTTTGTCTCTCAGGAAATACTTGCTGTTGCTGGTTGATCAGGCTCTCAGCATGATCTTGAAGGTCACATAGTACCTACCTTAAGAGGTTGTCCTACTTCCTAAAAGAATGTTCTCTATCACAATGCCTGGTCCTGACTCGGAGCACCCATCAGGTGAGAGACGTAAGGGAGGGGAGAGTTATCTCAACACAGCTCCAGCCCTATGGCCAGGATGTTCTGCAGAGTTCCCTGGGACCCTTCACATTGTTATCTGCAGGGCCACAGCAACTATGAGAGGCAGGTCCTGGCTATTTACTTTTTCTGGGCTCTAAGGAAAACTCCCACAGATTTGCTTTCTTGGAGTTAATGGCTGTGACTCTGCTGGATCCCTTTCCTGTTGCCAGTGCATCCCCGCAGGACCTGCCTCAATCTGTGCCCCAGGAAAAATCATCGTTTTGACTCTTTCCCCTTTCTGTGACAAACTGTTATCTCTAAAGCTGAAGGGCAAAGTTGAAGAAAAGCAGTGTGCAGTATTGTATTTACAAAGGACAGACAAAGTGACCATGAAACAGAGTAAGCCTACCTCATCTATCAGGCATTAAAAGTGCAATTTCAAAGAGGGAGAAGGAAATGAGCACTCTGAACCAAATTTGACCTACTCTTCCCTAAGAATCAGAGAATGCCATCCATGCTCATTTAATTGATTGTGGTTTCATAAGAATGTGTGAGTATGGAGGGTACATTTTACCCCATTTTGAAAAAAGAACAATTTGCCCCATTCTTAAGAAAATATTTTAGACCCTGGGTACAGTCTTTGTTTGCTCATTTGTTTGTTTTTATAGAAATGGTGTCTCACTACATTGCCCAGTCTGGTCTCGAACTCCTGGCCTCAAGCATAGTCTCTGAATGGGGAAATTGTCTTAATTAGAAAACATCATTTGTTCATTTATTTATTTATTATTTTATGTAACTACTTTGTTCAGAAAACAGAACTACTAGTTCTGTGAATGATATAAAACTGAATAGGAATTTTTCCCTTTAAAACATTAAATTTGATTGGGGGAAACAGACCACATGCATCAATGTCAACATTAGAAAGTATAAATAAAATGCTGGTTGGGTGCAGTGTCTCATAGCTGTAATCCCAGCACTTTGGGAGGTCGAGGCAGGTGGATCAACTGAGGTCAGGAATTCAAGACCAGCCTAGCCAACATGGTGAAACCCCATCTCTACTAAAAATACAAAAATTAGCTGGGCATGGTGGTAGGCACTTGTAATCCCAGCTACTCTGGAGGCTGAAGTAGGAGAATTGCCCGAACCCAGGAGGTGGAGGTTGCAGTGAGGCAATACCACGTCATTGCACTGCAGCCTAGGTGATAGGAGCAAAACTCCATCTTAAAAAAATTATATATAAAATACGGTGCAAGTTCTGTGGGAAGGTGCCTTGGAGCTGGGCACGAGAGGAAAGGTAAGGTGTCAGCAGACAGAGCTTTGTGTCCCAGCAAGGCTGTGAGCAAAGGCACGAGGGTGGGAAAGCTGCGGTCTGGGTGGTGAAAAGGCCGAGGGGAGTGCAGGATTGAGCTCAGAGATATGGGTCGGGAATGGGTCCCTATGTGACTGAGAACAGGGTTGAGAAGTTATGATTTTACAGTATAGGCAGGAACCACTGAAACATGCTGATCAGAAGTCGTCCAATCAATCAGCACTTGTCTTCTAGGAAGATTAATCTGATAGTGGTATGTAGGGTGGATTGCAGTGGATCATAGTTAAGAATGAGATCTACTGCAGTATTTTGGGCAAGGTGGCATGAGGGCCTGAAGTAAGGACTGAAAGGATGCAGAAGCACGGTTAAAACAAAACACATTTTTGAAAAAATAACATTTTATTATTATAGAGGTAGTATGTGTGTATGGGTGTGTGTGTGTGTGTGTGTGTGTGTGTATGTGTGTGTGTTGTAAGAAGTGTTTTTGGTCCGGTGCAGTGGTGTGTGCCTATAATCCCAGGACTTTGAGAGGCTAGGGCAGGAGGATCACTTGAGGTCAGGAGTTTGAGACCAGCCTGGACAACACAGTGAGACTGAGTCTCTAAAATAAAAAACTTTAAAGAAAGAAATGTTTTTTAAAAGTTACAATATAAAAAATGACAAAAATAATATATTCCTATCACCCACATATCACACTTTTCATTCATTAGGTGCATATCATCCTGGCTCTTTTTCTGTGTGTATGTGCACACACACATAATGTATACACTTACTTATTTTTTAACGAAAATAAGATAATATTGTATACATTATATGTGTGTGTATATATGTACATATACACATTACCTATCTGTATTTTTTTACCAAAATGAGATATTATTGTACATACTGGATGGTAATTTTTTTCACCAATGATCTCTACTCCTCTATTTTAGTAAACTTTGAACTAAAGTTCAAAGTTGAACCAAACCATATTCAATTTTTTTCAGTTAACAAAAAAATCTCACTAGTATGTGATATCTAACTAGCATTCAATCCAGGACTATGGATGCCAACAGGTTTTTATGTCCCTTAAGATTATTTTATTTTAGAAAAGTCGCTTTTTAAATTACATTGATTTGTCGAAGGGACTAAGCCAGCTACCTGCAGGATATCCCATTTTCTGGATATTTCTGGTAACTTTCTCTTGTATTTCATGAAACTTGTATCTAGTTAAAACAAGTTGGATCTGGTCATAAAACACATTAGACCCATATGACCCATGCCTGGATTAGAATGACGAAGGCCTGATCTATTTTTCAGTTCTATTTTCCCTTTGTGACTACAATGTTTTGTGCGATATTCCTAGAACGTACAGTTCAACTACTCACATGATGGTTTTAATACCAACTGATAAAATCTAGAGCTTATGAAATGATCTTTAAAAATAATTCTGGCATTTATACTACTTTTATTAGTTGGCATTTTTAAGTAAAGTAAAATTTTATCGTATCAACTGGGACTACTTAAATATCCTCAAACACAATTCCTACTAGAAGACAGGATAAATGCTTAATTAGAGTAAGGAGTTATTTTAATCGCTACTTCAAATGGTGATAAATGGGTTCTCTGACTTTCCATTTTTTCTAAGTATCATTATGAATTTAACAGATTTTCATTGATTCGATGTGTTTCAATCCATCATGATACTTTTCATATTTAAATTGTCATGACTTTGGAAAGTGGGCCCTTTTCTAAGCTATCTCTTAGGTTCTTTTCACATGACCCTATTCATATTTGAAAGTTTCCTTGCTTTCTAATACAATGAGGCATCTTATGCTCACTTTAGACCTGTCTCAGAGAGAAATGAACTCCTTCTTTAAGGACCTCTGATTCCTTCAGGAGAAATGATGTTAAAGACCATGTTCTGGGGAAGAAGGAAGGCATTTTCCTTTCAAGTCACCTTTATAATGATGTAATTTTCATAGTATGAAATACATCTATTTAAAAAAAAATGTTACCACCACCAGAATAAAGACACAGAACATTTTTGTCACCCCTAAAACATCCCTCCTGCCACTTCACAATCTTCTCCCCGCCCTCACCCCTAAGCAACCACTGATCTGTTTTCTGTCACTGTAGATTAGTTTTGAATGTTCCAGAATTTAACATAAATGGAATGATATCATAGCTACTCTTGTGTGTGTAGCTTTTTTTCTCTTAGCAAAATTTTTCTCTTTGTTGGGGGTCAGGGAATAATTTTTTCAGGAAAAAAAACCTCAGAAAAAGAACTTACAGAAAAGTTGCAAATATAATCCAAAAAATATTTTATTTCTGAACCATTTTACATGAGTTTGTCAACATAATGCCCAGTTACTCTGAATACTGTAGTGTGCATTTCCTATAATACAACCATGAAAATCAATTAACCTTATAATCCTGAGATCCCATTTAAATTTCAGCAATGTCTCAGTAGCAAAATCATACAAATCCAGAATTATGCGTTCCATTGGACACATCTCTATAGTCTCCTTTATTCTGGAAGAGTTCCTCAGTCTTTGATTATAATATTTTGAGATTATAGATTATTTATGTATGCAGTAGCCCTTAATATGGATTTGTCTGGCATTTCCTCATGTTTGGATTCAGATTGTGCAACTCTAGCAGAATATTACAGAAGCAATGCTGTGTTCTTCTCGCTGTATCATATCAGGTAGCACAGGATTTCTATTTGTCTCATTACTGATGAAATTTATGTTGGTCATTTGATTAATGATCTCTGTTAAGTTTCTCCACTATGAAATTATTTTTAATAGAATGACAATTAAAATATAACATATCAAAATTTGTGGGAAGCAGTTAACAGCTTATAGCTTTAGATGCTTGTATTTGAAAATAAGAAGTTCCAGGCTGGGCGTGGTGGCTCATAACTGTAATCCCAGCATTTTGGGAGGCCAGGATAAATCACTTGAGCTTGGGAGTCTGAGATCACTTTGGGCAGCAAAAGATAACAATCATAAAAATTAAAATTAAAAAATAAAAAGCAAAGAGTTCTAAATCAATAAGCTTAAGAAGCAAGAAAGGGGCTCCAATCATACCCAAAGTAGAAGAAAGTAATAAGAAATCAACAAAATAGAAAAAAGACAAAATAAGCAATGAAACCAAATCTTGGTTCTTGGAAATGATTTAAAATTGATAAACTTGGCCAGGTGTGGTGGCTCAAATCTGTAATCCCAGCACTTTGGTAAACTGAGGCAGGAAGATTACTTGACCCAAGAGTTCAAGACCAGGATGGGCAACACAGTGAGATCCCATCTCTACAAAAACAAAACAAAACAAAATTACCTGGGTATGGCGGCGCACACCTATAGTTCAGCTACTCAGGAGGCTAAAGTGGGAGGATTGCTTAAGACCAGGAGGTTAAGACTGTAGTGAACTGAGCTCATAACCACACACTTCAGCCTGTGTGCAGAATGAAGCCCTGTCTCAAAAAATAAAAATAAAAAATTGATAAACTTCTAGTCAGACTGATTAAGAAAAAAGAGAAGACATTGAAAGTATCAAGAATGAAAAAGGGAACATCATAACTGATCTAACAGATAGATGTTAAAAGGATAGTAAGAATTTTATGAACAATTTCATGCCAATAAATTAAAAAACTTAGATAAAATAAATTCCTTGAAAGACACATATTACAAAAATTGACAAAAGAAGAAATAGAGATTCTTAACAACTATATATATAT